AGCGCCTTTCGTGCGACAGAATGAAGAACGTTGCTAGGCTATAAGGGTTCTACTCACGGCGACGATGTGGCCCATGAGGACGAGTGTGCATGATCTACATTCCCATTTCAACGCCTCCTTGTTTATTCAGCTCACCGCGAAGTCGACACCGGTTGCCCATGCATCGTTTGTTCGATGCTCCTCGCCATATCCTTCAGGCAGCCCATGTCGTCATGGAGAGGATGGGCAAGCTCGCCAATATGTTAGCGGACCCACCTCTCTACATCGTGGACTGGGCATCCTGCAGCGTCACCTTCAGACGTCACACCACTCTTTCATCACCAACGGACGCAAAAATGCTGGACTGGTTGTGGACTGGCCCCTCAATGAGGAAGAAGATAAACCTACCACACCGAACAACGCTGAAAGGTAGACAAGTGAAGCTGACGTGGCGAGACGACGACTAGAGTGGAGAGGGGCACTCGTGGAGTATGTTGTCTCACACAGGAAGGAGGATGGTCGCCAGTCAGTTGCTCGCTTTGTGCTTGTGCGGTTGGTCACGCACGTTTTTGTGTCGACGTCCCCTCTTAGGGTGGGGGGATGAGCCGACGTGCTTTCGTTCTGGCACAGTTGCGCCTTTTGTGGAGGGAGGGATTTCTAAGGAGCGTCATCATGTGTGATGACAAATGTGGATGGATTTGTGCATTCCTCGGACTGACGATGCCGAAGTTACACGTGCTGCTCTCTTGTACGGTTCCTCTGACACCCACTGATACAACACGTAAGGCACAATCTGGTCAGGCTGCAACGGTTCCTTGTAGAATGTCACACGCCGCTGCAGGAAGGGCAACAAAGCTTCTACAACCTCTTGGAAGACACGTGGCGACATGCGGAGCTTGTCCCAAAAGCAATACTCCGTCACGTCATTGCATTGCCGCAGGTCCTCCCACGCCCCCCCTGTCCTTTTCATCCACCACCTGGGCATCGCTCTGGGAAGAACTCCGCAATTCAAGGCACAGGACACCTGGAGGACAGAATCGCAAATGGTGGCGGTGTCCAACCCTTCGAACGCCATACACTGCATCATCGCCGCATTCTCCCCATTGTGCTCTCCAAATGACAACAGAAAAAGACAGTGGTAACGGCGACTGCCACTGCTGTCCTCTCTGCCGTTGTCACCCACGCTCCTCATTGTCGTCGCCTTCCATCGCCATTCAATGTGCTGAAGAAATCACCGTCAACAATGGCAAAAGACTCCGCCGAGTTCAACCGGACCAGCAAACCACACCACTTGAGATGGACGCTGATCACACAACCAAGGTGACTCAAGCAGCCTACACAACACACTCCCCTACATCCGTGCACACACACGGTTCCCAAGGATAACTGCGATGACATCTTCACGCAGTCCCTTGCCTGGCCGCACGCAGCACTCACCCCGACCCCGCCAACGCACACTAGAAGGACATTCCTTTCTGCCATCATTCACCAGCCACTGCAGCCACACGACCGACCTCCCTCGCCCAAACAATGTCTTTCAAATTTTGAATTTCGAACCAGGACGTCCGTGCGCTTTTCTAATTTTTTTACGAGTCACAGCGAAGATTCAAATTTTCCCACCACTCCAAGCTGGACCACGCCCGTCCACACAGACAGGAGCTCATGGACCACCAACCCCAGCCCACCCGGCAGTCGGCAATAAATACCATGCTACTGGCCGTGGGCCATCCATAGGAATCCTCCTCGGAAAACCAATCCTCCTAGGAAAACCTTCCTGAGGATGAGTGGAACTTCTCAGTTGACCAATAGGAAAATCCCTCCGGGGGGCAATACATACTATGCGACTGGCCGTGGGCCCTCCATAGGAATCCACCTAGGAAAACCTTCCCGAGGATAAGTGGAACAACGGCGGAAATTCTCTCGGGTGACCAATGGAAAACCCCTCGTGCGCCGCTGACGGACCGAGGAGTGTCCCTCCACTGCCACACCAAATGTGTAGAATGAGAGAATGAATCTTCCCCTACAACATGGGAAGATACAACCCCTTATTCGCACGGTGATTAAATCCGGATTAAAACAAGGTCCGTGCCTTCTATTCAGGAAAGGACTATGACCACTATTCTGCTTGAGCTGTGAGCAAACGCACCAAAATTTTTCACGCAACTTCCAAAAACTGCCATTTGGCAAATAGCGGAGTGAGGAGTCCTCTCCTTCGAGGTCATTGCCGAAACAAGGACCATGCCTTCTATTCAGGAAAAGACTATTGACTACTATTGTGCGTGCAGCAATGAGCAAAAAAAAAAAAAAAAAAAAAAAAAAAAGCAAACGCACCAAAATTTCGTACGCAACTTCCAAAAACTGCCACTGCCATCTGGCAAATAGTGGAGTGAGGAGCCCTCGCCTTCGAGGTCATTGCCTGAGAGGGCCTCCAACGCCATAGGCCTTGCTGCTTCAGGCAAATTGTGCAACAGTACCACCAACGCGCACTCTGAACACTCCCCTCTCAGGTGAAGAAGGGCGTCGGTGCGGTGACCATTTGCGAGAAGCAGCAAGGCCATTGGCATTGGAGGCCCTCCCAGCCGATGGCCTCGAAGGCCAGGCCCCCCCTTGGCTGCACAATTCGCCAAATGGCAATTTTTGGAAGTTGCGTACCAATTTTGGCGCTGTTGCACGAACTATGGTACCATGGTGGTTACCGTCTTCTCTCCAATAGAAGCCACGGTCATTATATCTCTGTGTTTTGTGAGGACCCGTTTGCAAATAACGGACCTCGGCATAGGCACGAATGAACAGGCGGTGGATCGAAACTGTAAGCAAGGACTCGTGGCAGTGCGTCAGTTTCGTGAATGGCCTAGACGGGCGTCGCCGCACGCGACACGAAACGAAAAACGAAACGAGTGCATCTTCCTGCAGAAAATGGCCGGTTCGTCCGTTTGCTATAAATAGTAACGAGTGTATTTTGCCTCCTTTCGTGGGCAGATGCACTCGTTTCGATTTCGTTTCGTGTGCTCCCGACTCCCTGGAACAACTCCGGACTTCCTGCTCTCCACCCCCTTGCACTGCTCTCTCTCTCTCTCTCTCTATCTATCTATCTCTCTCTCTCTCTCTCTCTCTCTCTCTCTCTCTGCGTGTGTATAGCAGTGCCTCGTCACGCGTGAGTCGTTAGTTGACGGCGCCAATTCGGCCAAGATGAACGTGGCCGGTTGAAGCCCAGGCTCTTCTTCGGCTTCCCCTCGTGAAACACAGACAGTCAGACAAACGGACACAGCCAGGCAGACAGTCAAGGACAGGGCCTTTAAAAAAAAAAAAAAAAAAAAAAGGACAGGTGATCAGGCGAAAAAAGGGCATAAAAGCAGACGGCTTTTGCATATCTGCAGCGCTAGGAACAGAGATTGCACGCAACACGTGGATTTGGCGCTAATTTTTACTGTGTGTTCACGAAGCCCTATGAATGGGTTTCGCTTCTTTTGCAGGAACGAGAGAGAAAAAATGGAAATAGAAATTAATGATGCAACTACTTTTCTTTTTCATGAAAAGGGAATATAAGTACATAATGCAAGTGCCATATAATAGGAAATACACAAGCAGCGGAGAGAAGGCAGATTATTAGATTAACGTTTTTATCTGTTTTTTTTTTGTTTTTTTTTTCAGATTATCTCCCTGCACTCCCTACTCACCAAAAACTATTAAAATTCCGCATGTATCTTCTATTAGAAGGTGGAAAGATACACCCGCCACATTTTCATTCGTTCTCACATTAGGCGAGTGATATCAACAAGACCTTAAATTAGCAACAGGAAAACGGAGCGCTTTTAAATTCCCAAGGTTCCCCCGTTTCTTAATTGTTTTTTTTTGCTTTTTCTTGTTCACACAAAAGACTACTCATTTTACTACCACACAAAGTGGGTGAGGCCGACTTCTTCTTTTTTTCTTTTTTTTTCTTTTAACAATCGCAACATTTTATTCCAGAGGCCGCCTTCGTTTGCAGCATAGGGGCTCGATTAAGTTATTAGATTATTTTTATTAATGAATACAGTCCCCCCCCCACACACAAAAAAAAAAAAAGAGAAAAGAGAAAAAAATCCCACTGTGAGTACGCCGTCATATAGTTTCACACAATACTCCCCGCACCTTCTTTCCCCCAAAAAGAACCAACGGCTATTTAATGACCGTACGTTCTATTCGGTGGAAGACGGACGGTAGGCGAATGGCATCGTCGACCTCGTCATCCATCAATCGCATACGACGCACGTCGTCATCCATCAATCCGTATACAACACACCTCGTCATCTATCAAATCGTATACAAACCGGGTGTTGTATACGATTTGTTCAATGGATGACGAACGACGTCGACGATCCCCCCCCCGTTCGAAAGTAATCATTGGACAAACGGCAAACTGACACGTGGGCATATCCAACCTCCATCTTCCCCCTTCAGGGCACCCATCATCAATAGATAAAAACGCCAATCCTCAATTCATCACTGGGTACTCCTTTTCTTTTCTTCTTTTTCTTAATGGTCGGATGGAACAATGATCAGATAATAAACTGATCAGAACACAAACTACAATTGATTTCAGCCAAAAGGCAGAGAAAGGTAGAGCGAGTACTCTGGGCATTTAACTTCTTCGACGTTCCTGGCCGCAATTTCACCGTTTTGGGGACGCAACGCTGAGATCGCCAGCTCCTACTGGAGGGAGCACGGTAAGCCCCGACAATCTCGGTTCAAAACACGTCGTTATTGCGACCAGGAGCGTTTAAAGAATTATCCTGGCCGCAATTTCAGCGTTTAAAGAATCGAAATCGTCAGGTCCTGCTGGCGGCAACAAGGTAAGCCTCGGCGATCTCGGTACCAGAGACGCCGTGATTGCGGCCAGAAACGTCAAAGAAAAAAAAATGCCCAAAGGGAAGGAAGATAAAGCATACATCTTCATGTGTAGTTCGCCAACATCCATAAAATCGTAGACAATTACCAGAACACAGTCCGCGATGATAACATCCATCAATTAATTAGTTAATCACACTAATTAGCATGAACCTCCTCCCATCACGTCACATATTCGACAACACCGGGACGTAGTCCGCCGACAAACAGCTGCTTGACACGTGTACACGGTACACAACCTTACTTACCGCTCTTGCCATCGGGCTGGGCATTACTAATTAGCGTAAACCTCCATTCCCATCAAGTCGTAATCAGAAACACCGGAACACAGTCCGCCGACAGACAGCTGCGTGACACGTGTCCACAGTACACAACCTACTATCCGCTCTTGCCATCGGCGCTGGAATCCATCAATTCAATACAGCATAATTAGAATGCCTCATCCCATTAATTACACCGCCGGGACACAGTCCGCCACAAACCCCCAGAACCCCCAGACAAACATCTGCGCGACACGTGTACGCAGTACACAACCTACTTACCGCTCTTGCCATCGGCCCTGAAATCCATCAATTAAATACAGCATCTTTCACGTCTCATCCCATTAATTACACCGGAGCCTTACAGTCCACAACAAATGCCCACGTGGACACCGACCCCGACAAGGACGCGTCGCGACCACGAGGCTTCGAAACCCTGCCTCTTCACAGTCCTTGGCCACGTGGACGCCCTCGGCCCCTTCTCCTCCCCCCTTCAATTAGTACATATATACGCTATGGCTTATACATATACATAAAAGTATGATCCTCCCACCAATTAGTATCCTCCTCCCATCGATTCGTACACTCCTCCGATCAGTTAGTATACTAGTCGTCCTATGAGTTCGCAGTGCACGACAAGAAACGGCCGCGTGGACACGAGCACCATAACGGACAAATCGCGAGACACGGACACCCTTCCTGTTTACAGTCCTCACCGAGCTGGACGCCGTCGGCCCCTGTTACTCCCTTCAATTAGTGTATACTGTTTTTATCAACAAAGAAAAAGAATGTCCGCCCCACCAATTAGCATAGTATAGTACTCCCACCGATTACTACACTACTCCCACCAATAAGTACACGTCTAACATCAGTTAGCGCACTCCTCCCATCAATCAATAAGTATACTTCGCAAAGTCAACACGTATTCGCCCCGCGGACATGTTGCACGACAAGAAAACGGCCACGTGGACACGAGCACCATCACGGACGCATAGCGACCTCGTGGCATAGGAAAGCTGTCTCGCCAGGTTAAGTGGACGGGGGCTCGACCCGACATCATCACGGACGCAATAGCCAATCATGTGGCACGAAGACTATCGTTCCCGCTGCACCTCCCCTTCCCCACGCCCTGTCCCGCTCCACTCCACTCCACGCCCCGTCCCTTCCCCCCCCTTCTCCTCTCTCATCCCCCTCCGCCCCTACACCTGCCCTCCCATCTGCCGCCTCAGCCCGTGGACCCCGCCCTGCCGCCTCCGCCCGTGCACCTCAGATCGACCCGACATTGATTACCTCCTCCACCTATCGCAGAACCCCTCTCCAAATGCCAGAAAAACCGCCTTCACGTGTCATACATAGCAGAGGGATTCCAAGGCAGCACGCAGCTTTCAACACCTCTTCCAATGCAGGCCAAGCGTGAAGGGAGAACCACCTATGCTCACATAATCGGATTTCTGCGGCTTCGTGCCAGGAGTAATCCTCGCTTCGACCATGACGTTCAAATTGCGAACTTTGCCACAGGGACTGAAAACCTTGTTCTGGAATTTGCGCGGGAGATTATACTTCCCCCTGAACGGACCCACGAGTGCGCACGAAGTCGAAGCCGTTCCCGGGAATCCCGACACATAGTACCTAACCTGCGCCGTACCTCGAGCTCCGCTACTCAGTTTCGCCGAGCCTCGGATGTTGATCCGACGGACAGCGAACTGCCAACCGCTCGGATAGGACAACTCGAAGCTCAACGAACAGACCTTTCTTCTGTTCAGGAGTCCACCCGTCGCCGACGCCCGGACCTCGCCGATGAAGAACCCTCCTCCTCCCACAGTGCCATTCATACTCCCGGGCGGGCAAGCCGAGCCCGAGTAGCTGAACCCTATGACTCGGACCCTCGGCTGCCGGCGCGCCTCCCCATTGACGGCAAAATGCACAAGTATAAGGAACAGCAAGCACGCGGTCGCCCGCGATGGTGATGTGAACAAACTCGTCACCGGCTTCTTCATGGTCGCCGGTTGTTGGACCTTCTTCTTAGCTATGGCCGGCTGTCTTCGTCGACCGCGGCCGACTGCTAATGACCTCCTCTCCTTTTCTGTCACCTTGGCTATGGCGGGTAGTCTTCTTCACCAGTGCCCGACTGCTAATAGGCTTTCTTCTCTACCAATGTGGCTATGGCCTCTTCTCTTCTTCTCCGGCGACCGACTGCTACTGTCTTTCTTCTCTGCCAACTTGGCTATGGCTGATTGTCTTCTTCGCCGGCGATGGCCGACTGCGTCTGGTCGTCTAAGTTCGTTGAGAGGAACGCGAGAGGTTTGAGGAGAAAGAGGAAGGGCGAGAGGTTTGAGGAGAACGAGAACTGGATGGGGCAGCTCGCTGGTGCGCTCTCGCAACGTCGCAGTCGAGTCTCGACGGTGTTGGGAGAAAAACGGAAGAGGTGGAGGAGGAAAGAAAGACAGGAGAAAAGACACTGGAATGACGCTTAGGCAGTTGTCACGAGCCTGTACACAAATGCGGGGTCGATTCATCACGATAACGCGCTTTCTCTCTGTGTTTTTCTCCTCTTCGGGGGCTAGGTCCCACTTGCACGAATTAAGAGATACTGACCGTAGATAGAAAAGATCAACGGCCAAAATCTCCTAATATGCGCAAGTGGGACCTTGCCCCGGGGCATACTCACACGGGGACCTATATTCCCAAATTCCCCAAAAAAAGTCGGTCACACGGATCTCCCAACTTCGCAAATGTGCCCATTTGTCAGCGGCCTGGGAAGCCGCGGGGCAAGGGATTTTGCGGTCACCGCTGGAGGTGACCGCAAATGCCCTATTTCAATTTTCGTATTTTCTTCGAAAATTGGCAAAAATTCGTTCACAAAAGTTCTTGCACAGTTTCTAAATGGCTCCGTGTGACCAGCCAAGTACCAAATCCCAATTTCTCCAGAGCGTGCGCTAAACGCCACTTGGGCGGTGAATTCTGCAGCGCGGTTCTCCACAACGCCCCTCCATGCCGTCGTAATTCACTAGAAGAGAGATGGATGCCAACGCGGAGTCTCTCAAGTATGGTTACCATGGCCACGAAGCTCGGCTGACAATCCAAGTTCTGGAGGACGGGAGACGAGATCGGCCACTTCGAATGCCCAAGACTTGAGCAAGGAGACGCCACCAGTACGGAGATGGTAAAACTTCTTCCCATAAGCCCTGAGTGGTTGCATGAGGCAATTGGCTTACACCTATTTATATTGGCTTCCTTAATTGTACATTATTTTAGTCTAATAGTGGATTGTTGTCAGTGTGGTTCTTTAGGTGAGATAGTTTGTAGGTGTCTTACCGTGGTTTTTTGCACGTCTATCTCCATGGGTGTTGTGGATACCCGCTCTGGGTCAGGGATGACTCCAGCTGAAGAGACGAGGATCAAATATACCCAGTCTGATTGCTACAACGAGGGATTGCTCCCCGATAACCTCAACCCGAACACTGTGGAGGTGGGGCAGGATTATGTACGGATAGTGGTCAATCCTAAGGTCTATGCTATCCTAGAAGATTGGTTGAAGGAGAATGCAGTTTCGGTCTTCTTTGGAAGCGACTCGAAATCTGTCCCTGTCAAAGTTAAAATTCGCCTCATCTGGATGTATGAAAACGGGTGGCCAAATAGTAGAGTCATTGATGCCCCACCAAAACGCGGAGTATTCCATAACGAGGGCTATAACCTGGTCGCGTATGTCGCCTCCGCTCCACAGATCGCCACGTGGCTCGTTAGGAAAAAGGAAGATAAGAGTGTTTTAGGAGATAAAACTGACACTATCTTCTTCCATCAATTGATGTCTGAGCAGGAGTTGTGTGATTGGCGTGAGTCCATGAGATTTATGTACTTCTAGATTAGGTGCAAATCGATACCGGTTGCTGCACTTCCTTTCCTCCAGGCAGCAGTGGTGCATGCTTTCGACAAGATCCAGAAAAAATACGATACTTATGCCGAAATGTCATCTCCGGAATTGGTAAACGTAGGATTTGACCTGGAACCCTCTGCTCGTGTCCGGTATAAACCATGATTAATCATTGACATGGGAAAAGGGGGATATGTGGAAATTGAGGTTATGCACGCTCAAACGTCGTGGTGCCTGAAATGTTGCCAGCACTTTCATTCTGATGAGGATGACTCATGTCTTGCGAAAAAGGAAGGGAGGGGAATATGAACGGATCTAAAGACCCAAAGGGGAAGGAAGGCGCCCCTGACGGGATGAAGAGCCCATAAGGGAATGGGAAATCGACAGGGAATAGGCAGAGGGGGAAGGAGAAAGCAGGGACAAAGAAGAAAGCAGTCGAGGAGGACACGGAAGGAGGGGAGGGGAAGGGGCTACCCCCTGCAGATCAGGACAGGGGAACTCGACCCTCTAATTCGGCATCAGGCCAGAAAAAAATGCTGGATGGGTCGGCCTCGAGTTCGGGTCCCGTAAAAGAATTGGAAAAAGTTAACAACGTGCGTACAAAGTCGGGGGTGGACCCTGTTCCTCCCCCCCTCCAATACTTCAAGAAACAGGGAACGAGAAACTTTCTTCCCCCCAACCTAGAGACGTTGAAATGGTAGATGGGGATAGCCCCAAGGCGTGTCCTGACCTGGTAGGGGAGAAGTCTCAGCGAGAGGCGGATGATCACAGCAAAAAAGGTAAACTGAACTTTGCCTCCCCTACCTTCAAAGATGTTTTGAATAAGTCGGCTCAAGTCTGAGAAGAAAAAGAAACAAAAAGGGGAGAAATAGACACAATTACCAGGGACTAAGATGACTTCGGTTACTGTCCGCAAGGATGCTCAGTTTGAGCACACAAGGGGAAAGGAATGGGTCCCGATAGTTCAGCACTCGGATAAAACGGTGGATGAAGGCGCCGCTAAACAGGCGGATCAGGTTAAAAGAGGGAAAGTAGGGATAGAGGATGAGAACCGGAAGGAGAAACTGGGGAAGGAGGACTCTACGATATTGTCGTCGTGGGAAAAGGTCAAAGCAGGGGATACAGCCTCAGGTGGCAAGGACAGTGGTAAGTCCCTCTCCGCCTCTCCCCCCCCCCCTCCTCCCCTACTCCCCGTCCAACGAGTACAACCGGGCGTGATCATCCTTCTCCTCCCCCACCCCCCACAACCTTGTCTGTAAACGGGCAGGAAAAAAACACCTCACTGAGGTCAGGGGTATCTAGAGAAGTGGTGACCGCGCTAGCCCACCTCCTCTCCGGAGAAAAACAAAGTTGTAAAGTTTATAATAACGGTATGTACAACTCAACCCCCAAAGATGAGGGTGACGATAAGGCGAGAACCCAATATAATGATTGTGAAACCTCTGCAATTGACGGACAAAATGATTTTGGTCCCATCATTGGAGGAGAAACTGTCCTTCCCAGGTTCGGTTGGGGAATTCAACCTTAACGAGGAATTTGATGGGAACCAATAATCATTTTCCCCATTAGGGGGCATGTCGGAACGGTCAGAAGAACAGGTAGGAAAAAAAAAGGAGGGGGGACAGGAGCACCTCGATAAGGCCAACTTCTAGGCTCCCTTCCCATCTGTCTCCCCTTTTCTATCTCCCTCTGGCGCACTCCAGGCGTCCGCTGCCGCCTTCTTGGAGTCATGTGCACCCTCATCTAGCAAAAGGCCCCATATTGAAGACCTTCAATTTAAGGCCAGACCATTGGAACACGAAAATATAGCAGGTATGGAAGAAATTGCTAGAAGCTCGCCCCAAAAAAAAGGAAAGGCCGCAAGCAACCAAAACGACAAGGAAATCCCTAGCCTTGGCAGCCTCGATGAGGACATTGTCCAGGGGCGACAAAGCCAAGGGATTGGTTACAGATTATTTCATACCTCTTATCTGCTCCCACGATGGTTTAAGCCCCAGAGTCCTCACCCTGATGAGAAGGGATGAAAACCGAGGGATGCCAACTATATTACTCAGAAGTAACCCATCCCCGGTTATGGGCTGTAACTTGGTGAAGCAACAAGTGTTGCATTCGTTGGGGGAGGTGAGATTACTCCAGAACCCAAGATGGTTCGTCATTTGGTGGACACCCCTGAAGGGGGAAAAGTTGGTCTATTGTTTGCCTTTTTGTATATTAATTATATTTAAGACAATAAAACCAAATAGGATGACCTCAGGATTCATTGGTTGGAAATAACACACTTTGCCTCCACCAATTTTGACACTTTGATGGGAGTAAAGTTAGTCTTCAACCTGAATGCTAATGTTCTTGCAGATTGGTTAGTTAAGAAAGACAATTGAAACATCATAATCGCGGATTCCTTTGCAAAAACATTGTTGAAGAGGAGGATAGGGAAAATTTTAAATTTTACAAATGGGGAAAAACTTTCTGCTCCCCCCCCTCCCCTCCCCTCTACAGGCAACTTGGTAGTAGCCACAAGCCATATCCAAAACCAAGATGGCCTTACCACCGAGGATGGTGTTACCTAGTAAAATTCGGCTTGGTACCTGGAATGTACAAGGTCTTGGAGACCATAATAATACGTTTAAAAGAGAGAGAATTACGGATTGGCTTCACTCACACCAAGTCTACGTGATATGCCCACAAGAGATCAAAATCAATAATGAAAATTGGGCAGACATCCAAAATTGGTGGTCGGGTCCCCAAATCTAGTCCCCAGCAAATGGTACCAAAGGGGGAGTGGCAATCCTAGTGGATAAAAGTTTAAATGTGGAAGTAATTGACAGTTGTACGGATGCAGAAGGACGTTGGGCCTGGATGAAATTGGCTGTTGCGAATGAGGATTGGGCCGTCATAACCGTTTATGCGCCTGTTGACTATCTTATAAGACTCATCTTTTTTTAAGACCTTCCAAAAATAATACCAGATACAAAAAATCTACATATTATGGGGGACAGGAACTTTGTGTTGAATCCCAGTCTTGACTCTCCCGCCTCCACCCCAATCAGAGACGATGCATTGCTTTTGAGATCCTTTATGGAATCCCATGGCCTAATGGATGTGTACAGAACTATTAGTCCGGACTCCTCTGACTTTACACAGTTTGGGCCCCGCCCCTCCAAAAACACACCGCAACCTAAAAGGCGACTGAATTTCATCCTAGCCTGTGGGGAACCATAGGAAAGGTGCGTTTGGTCAGACACAAAGGTGGCGTCAGTTTCAGACCACGATCCTGTCCTCATGGATGTCATGGCCAAGGACTCAATCACTCGTGCAGAACTGTCGTTTTGCTTAAACGTTCAAAATTTTAAAAGACCCAATGATCCCCCAATGGATCAAGTCTCAGATGGAGAACAGGCAACTTGCTAAAGATCTGTTCCCAAGTACTGAATACTGGGTGGATGCGGGAATAGGTATTCTGCGAGCCGCCATGATCAAATTTTCACGTATGAAAGTCGTTGCCTGCAACTGGA